TTCACAACTCCCTCCCCCCCCACAGTTACCTTACCCTTCCTTTAATGCACCTCCTCACCTTCTAGAAACGTCGCAAGTGCTCACTACTGTTCTATTCTCTCCCCCCCTCCTCTCCTCCCAATGGTTTCGTGAACGTGGAATTCCAAAATATACAAAATAAAGAAAAGGCTTGTTCACATCAAAAAGGAACTGATATGAGCAAAATTGGTGTCAGACAGGGAGGTGGAATTATATGTGAAGAAGTATGGAAAAATATGTGGAAGGTGTGGCAAACTTTTTCGGAGCTACCAAAGTAAGTGGCTTTTGAGCTACCTGGACATAAGGTGACTCAAAAAAATGAAGCTATTTACTCTCTCTTCACATAAATTTCCACACTCTACATGAGCTCACTGCATTCAATACCCTGCAAGTTAGTCTACAACTCCTCAAAGACTCTCCCCTCCGCCCAGTTACGCCCTCTTAAATTTTGAATGACAGTGGCAGTCTCCTGCTTCAAGCGCGGGGTGGTGCGCGCCGAACACAGCATGATGTCGTCCCGGATAACATGAACATTATTAATTCCTCCATCTTCATTGTAGTTTTTGTGTTTTGTTCTATTCATTGTTGTCATCTCTCGATTAATTCAAGAACTGTTATAGAAAATATCGTATTTCTATTGCGAAGTCATCAATGAGGACTTTGTTTGTGGCAAATTATTGGAGTCACCTTGTTCCGAGCCCTGCTGCAGATATTGTAAACCCTGCTGCTTTGGAAAAACCCGAAAACAAGACTTTGTACCTTATTTAAGAAATATTTTAGCCGAATACTGAGACATCATGCTGTAAAGCAATTCTAACACTGGTAGCAATACCAAACGAGATGGACGAGTTGAAGCGTTGCAGTTGTGTAAACAATGCAATTTTGCGAGGTTTAGGAGCAGACAAACAGACTGCAGCAGCACATAGTTCAATGGGACATGCTGCTCAGTACAAAACAGCAGTTCCAATGGCTGCGTATTTATGACTTATTGGAAATACAACAGCTACCATTGCCCCTCAGGTCCATAAAAAAGCGGAGAAATGGCAGTTCAAGCGTGGCTGTTTTCTAGCGTAAAGCTGGAGAAGTAATGTTTCATTGTGGAGATTTAGAAAGTTTGTCAAATTTATCACATATCTGCAATGCTTCTCTTGTGCACACATTTCAAAGATAGCTGCTTCAAATAAACTAATCTGTTACTACAGCTATAGGAAGCTGCAACATGTCTCATACAATTTCCGACGCATTCATAGAGACAACGCAGAAGTTACTTGCTACTGCAAGCAATACCAACAATGGTCGGTGGCTTGCAACAGTCATCATATTTTCAGTAAAATTGTCAAATACGGTAGCCATTACAGCTCACATTAACATCATTAGTATTCATCATTGTAATTGAAAACAACGACGCTTCTTTCTTACTTAAAAAAAAAGTACATTTTATTACAACAATAAACTAATATTATTGCAGATTGCAATCGCTCATCGTCAGGCTCGTCTCTCTTGTAAGTGCAGTGCAAAAATAGCAAGCTTGTTATTGCGTCCAATTTTGAACAGTTAGAGGCACTACAAGTGCCTCGTAGGTGTTTAGAATTGAACGCAATTGCATTTACGGTTTTTCATTACACGCCAATCCCTTTCTGAAAGGTGCTTACATGAGGGGTTGCGAACGCGAAAATCTTGTAAAGCGTACCGAAAACATTTTAAAAAGCGTGGCTGATGCCACACACCTTTATCAGGAAAATTTTCGTCCCTTCCAAGGGAAATCCTAGGTAAACTACTGTTACACGCTGAAAGTGCGGATTAGCAGAGCAGTCGGTGATGTTGTTGAAATCAAGACTTTCATGTTTGCTTGCAGTAATGAGTCATCGTTTCCACTCTTACAAACAGACTTTGAATTTATATTGTCCCGGCGGATTTCCGAATTTCCAACTTTCTGCTGTTTTAGGCCTTTTCGATACTTTCGTAGAACCCGAAACTGCTTTGAACTGAGTAAAAAGATCGTTTTTTGGGGCTTTTATGCAACTTTCAAAAGGCAGCGCTGTCGAGAGTTTCAAGGAAATGTTGGGAGGTTTCGGCACGAAGATCCTGCCGCCTGCAGATTTTGCCTCGGATATCACGCACATTGTGGGAGCGGAAGCCTGCTCCGAACAGGTAAGCTAAGCCGTCCGAGTGCATGCCACTGTGGTTGCGCGTGCCGGTCCGTGAGCTATTTTCTCGACCGAGATAACATCACCAGCCGGAGGTTACTGGGATAGCCAAGAAGCCCACCACGCCCACAGAGCGCGAATCTGCCGTCACACTGTCTCTTAGACCATGTTTCAATGAAACGGGGCTTTATATTTGGAACTTGGGGCCTGAGCATAATGTGTTGTGAGCAAAGAAAAATGGTCGACCATAGTCTGTACTAACCCAACTGCACCAGCTAAACCTGCTCTACTGTAGAAAAGTCCTGACAATCAAGTCCGGTACGTTTTTCTGCTTTGAAAACATGATCGCGTGCAGAAACGGTAGCAAAACTGTTTTGTAAGACTTAGGCCCGTAGTAAAGCTGCTTCATTCGATCTCAACTGAATAAATTTTCAGTTGAGGCTTCGACGAGTCAGCTCGCCTTCAGTCGAGCCATTGATTGATATTGCCAACCACCCACGATGATAAGATTAAGAGCGCCACGTCCATGCAAGTATACAAGTTAAAACGCGTTCATCAAACATTCGTATCTGTGGCGGCAGAGGTGTGGCCGCACTTGTCAGATCTTGTTGAAGGAGAATGGGCGACGTCACGCTCCCTTGAACGAACTCTTCTCAGCCCTTGACGTGTTTTTACGTTGAAAACACAATCGAACGCATAGTGTCTACCTGTCGATGCCCGCTTTCGACAAGAATTGCTAGAAGCACTCGTCTAGGCTTCTCACAAAATTGTCTCAAAATGGTTTTTTTTTTTGAAGAATTCACGCATTTCGACTGCCATATTTGGAATCAGCGTCATGATGAGGCTTGGATAAGGCAAAAAAGAGAAGTCGAGATTCTGCTTGGACGCTGCCATTAAAGCTTGATACATACCTAGCCTCGGGTGTCTATACGTAGCGGTGGCAGCAATGCGATTTGTGCGTATTGATTGCAGCGGAGTGACGCTGCTGCCTCCCGCTGCAGTAGCTAACATGGAAGATCGTGTCCATGCCTAGCGAGTCAGTTTTGAGCAGCGCTGCGCAGCGCTGCTCAAGCTGATCAGCGCTGCAACGAGATTTGCAGCTGAGTTACGCTCACTTTTTCTGAGCTTATCTAAGCTGCTGTGAGCTGCAAGCAACTGTTTTGGCTCGAAATTACCTATTTTTAGCAATTTTCAAGCCCTGGCCAGCGTTCTGAAAACAGAGTCCGTCTTTATATTGTGAGCAAGTCATGAAGCAACCTAATACCGTTTAATTGGGGTTTCAGAGGATATGGGGAAATATTAAGACGCATTGGAGGGACATACTCCATGAACTTGAAGAGAAATGAAGTACCCTTTTTTCAGGTGTATAAGCCGCACCCTTTTTGCTCTAAACGCGAGCAGACCTAGGCGTGCCGCCGCGCATATGTCTCGCGTAACGGTCGCCTTATCGCATACTGCTCTCACTTAACGCGCTCCATGATGACAGTCAGTCTTTTGGCGTGTTCGCCTTTAGACCGAAAAGGGTGCGGCTTATACACCTGAAAATAGGGTTATTGATAATGACTACACATTGGCAATAATTCAAAAAGCTGACAGCGTAATTATAGGGCTTATCAAATTGAGTGTCGTTTGCACCAGCATCTCCATCTTCGCGCTGGACTCTGCGTCTTTTCTGCAGCACGTGTTCCCTAATCACTTCCAATCGATTGAGGCTTCGCCTTTCCCACGCTCGCCCTGGGAAAGTGTTTAGAGAGCAGCCCCGCGGAAGAGACGCAGAGTTCAGCGCGAAGATGGAGATGCTGGTGCAAACGACACTCAATTTGATAGGCCCTATAGATAAAATTTGGCCTCCAATGGACTGCAATCATGTCATTGCCTGAGGGACACTTTCATACTACTAGGACAGCCAATGCCTTATCAGGGGTCGAATGGAATGAATGCACTTGAATTGCTCTTTTGAGTTTGCTCGTATGAGCTACCTTTCTATTCTAAATTTAGTGATGAAAAATGAAAAATGAAGAACTTCTCATAAAAGTATGGACCGGATCCAACTTAAAATATGCTAATTCTCTTCTTTTTGACGTAATAAAACTCGACATTAGCGCAATTTTTTTTGATGGTTTCTGCAGTCAACACGCACTCAAGAAGCAGCCGAGCGCAGCGCTGATCAGCCGGAGCAGCGCTGCCTTCGCTGCTCGCTGGTTTTGTCCATACCTAAGCAGCGAGGTATGTATCAAGCCTAATGAAGGCATCTCCTCTTGGCGCACCAGCGGCGTAGTACTCTTCTGCCAGCAGAGTTCCACAGGGTACGAGCGGCGTGTGGCTACCCTACCAACGGCGTTTGGGTGTTTTGTTCAGATGACATCGAACGCCGTTCCTACGCAACAATATAAAGAAGTGTGTGCTGTAGCACACTTTAACGGCAGTCGGTTGGGCGCATCTCGAAGTTGAAAAGACTTACAACTTCTGCTTAAAAGAAGAAAAATTAGATTAGCAACCGAAAAAGAAACGGATGGCACTGGTGGCGGATCGAGGGGAGCGGGACGAAGGCTCGCGCGAACTGAAAGTTATCTGCGTGAGTGAAAACTCTCTTTTCAAAAGTTTATGGCATATACGAGACATTATTCCATAATTTTTTGTTGCACGTGCACACATTTCGGCAGCAAATCAATCGATTTTTTGGAATACTGTGTCAAGTTAGTTGAGACGATATTTGGGGATAAAACTGGATCGAAAGATATTCATGGTATACGTGAGATACGAAGAGATAGAATTTTTACCCATAAAACTTGACTTTGAGATTGACAACATGAAACCTATCAATTTCTTTTGTCCACTTAGAGCAACTTGTTCAAGCATCACGTAGAGGTCCACTTTGGTGCACGCTTCTCAGCAAATGCGTTCATGCCTTCTTTGCCATCGTTCTAAAGATTTGAGATTGAAGTCTTGCAACAATGACTGGAATGGGAAAGACTCACTGTAGCGAAGGTAGTATGGCAAGGCCGCCGCTCCTATCGCAGGCCCTCCTTCAGTGTCGTTTCATATGCATTGTTCACAGCCTCCTCAAAAACAGTTTTGTTGCGAGAGGAAGCAGACTTCCAAATTAGAGGAAACAGTAAAGATTTTGATCTTACCTTCACCATTTGCACAATAAGCGGTGACTGTTCAGAAATTTTCTCTCCTAGTTTCACAGCTTCATTCACGACTTGTTCAGCCGGGAGCACCTAAACAGATACAGTCGAGTAGATTTTCCGCTCAATATTGTGTGCTTGCACTGAATGTGAAATGCGGTAAAATTCGCGCGTGATTAAGTAGCCACGCCAGTAATGAACATTTTGCGCGCGCAAATGGCCGGCGTCACGGGCGCAGCTATCTCTTTACACGCAAATTTTACTGCATTCACCTACAGTGCAAGCACACTGTACTAAGCGGAAAATCTACTCGACTGTACCTACACCGTGAGGTGATTAAAACTCATTTTATTGAAAAATCATGACATAGAACAAAGTCACGGTATTAGTAAGACCCAGAAAAACTAGATTTATGAAAGGTAGTGAGAAAGTATCATCCAAGCTGAGCGTTTGACACTGACCGTGAATGCTGACTCCTTTGCATTAACGTCTAGATTATCGCGAATTTGCTGAGAGGGAAAACACAATGACTTGCACAGGCCGATCATGGCTACACTACTCGCTCCGGTGGTTTCCGGCAGTTTTTCGAGATGTGACGCGTATTCGTGTGTTTGACTAATGTAACCACACAGCTATCCTCGTGCAAAACCACATAGCCGGAAAGACGGGGTAGGGGACTATATGGTGCCACCGCCTGGATAGCTAGTCCAAATCCATACAATCTGTATACTAACGCCATGCATGACTGCGTGATCTGTTGTTGATGTCCGCTTGGGACCACCTCCTTTCGGCGACATATGGCCCTCCACCCAGAAATATGTTATATCACAGTTTGTGGAGATTTCCACCAACGTATAAGCCGACGGGGTGGGGAAACGAAGACCGCCAGTTTGAGCAGCCTTCCGCGGCCAACTGGTCCTTTTGCAGTGTCACTGCATGTCGCTCCAGAGCCAGTAGTCCGCGAAGGCGTTCAAACTGGCGGCCTTCGTTCCCCTACCTCCGACGAGATACCAAATTATCAGTAAATCAGAAACAATCAACATAATTCCACTTTTCCCGCCCGCTTATTGGGGCATGAATTGAATGCAAAGGTAAACAAATTAGAAGAGGAATTAGTAGCAACAAAAAAGGATAGAAGCTAGGCTTACTTTTGATACTAAACCACAGTCCTTGGCTTCCTGAGCGCTTACTCGATTACCTGTCAAACATCCATGGCCATAGACTTTCCAGGTACTCGTGCCCACCTTTGAGTTCCACCAGCCCCTGAAAATATATGAACAATACTAGGATATTTCCATAAAAATGACTAGGACTTACCTGGAATCGTGCCAATGTTTATTTTTAGCTGTCCAAACTGTGCTTTATCTCCAGCGTAGACGATGTCACACATCATAGCCAGCTCACAACCTCCTACCAGGGCTTACCTGAAGAGATAGAGAATTTATTTATTTTCTATCTCTAGTTTTCATGATTTCGACCATGTTTTCATTTATGCTGCACCATGAGGTGCCTGAAATGCAATAGTAACATATGTACAGGAATGGAAATGGAGTTAAGTTGAAACAGAATTGAAACATACGAGTACTATTGCAGAGAATATTCCAAACTAGCTTACTCATTCACAGCGGCAATGACTGGTTTGGAGGTTTCGCTCACAGCTGTCCACTCTTCCAAGCATCGCCCTCGGAAAGTCTGCGCAAATTCGTGGTCCACCATTTCCTTGATGTCAGCACCAGCTAAAAACATTCTCTTACCAAACTCCTAAGTAAACAATAGGCCAATTCACATTCACAAACCAGTAAAAGATTTTGGCTTCCGATGAGAACATTGGCGCCAACAGAATCATCACTATCGAGCTCTCGGAGAGTGCAGCAATAAAACAATGCCTAGCGCGAGCACAACTGCAAAATGATGTTATACTTGTGAACATTCCGAACGTGAACATCAAAAAGCAGTTGGTAAGGAACAGACTCTACGACGCAGAATGTCTTTCAAAGCACTGTATTGTCTGTCCATATGGAAAACCAGGCGATTGCGCAAAGGCAGGAGTAGTGTATGAATTAGAATGCTTGAAGTGTAAGGCGACAATATATAAGAGAAACGGGTAGATTGCTGAAGTTAGACTTGAAGAACATCTGGCAGCTAAAAGACGAGCAAGTGCGTTATCACCGTTAGGAAGACATAGGATTGAGACGCACAATGGCGATGAATTTGACGTTAAATGCACTATCTTGTCATACAAGACAGAGATTACTGTAAGAAAGACCCTTGAGGCAGCGTGGATTTCAGAAATCCTAGCATGAATAACAGAAATGAATGCGTGTGGATAACCACCGAACTCTTGCCTATCTTAACGATCTGTGAGCGATAGTCTGCACATATATAAGTGACGATCATAGGACAGCACTCAGTGTCGTCTGTCTCTTCGGTGCGGCTAAGTACTGACTCTACTGACTTTCACTAACACTACGGTGGATAAAGGTTCGTTTTCTGATCAACATATCTATGTACGCTGAGTGCGGGACGAGGTCTAGACTCGGCAGTGCGGAGAGGCGTTTGGCGGTCTGGTTTCGCAGATATAACGCTGCAATCTACTTTCAGGCCTCCGACGAAGACGAAATCGTCGAAACGTAAGGCCAATAAAGAATTCCACCGCACAAACCTGGCACTGGCATAACATCATATAACAATTACTAACACATCCCGAATGCCAAGATCTAGAGAAGAGAGAACATGGAACTTACTGAGTGGCTTGATTATCTGCTTTTAGATTCTTTCGCTAAGCAATCTACCCTCTCTTGCAGCAGATTTGGCTGCGAGCACATTCTGCACTAGTGGAGTAATGTCAAATTCGTTTTGGTGAGTGTCCAATTTTTTTCAAATGTGGTGTTCGCAACACTGAAATCAGTTTTCTATTGGCTATTCAAAGACTCTTTTGTTTGTAGCAACACCTAAAATCTGGAGACAAACTCATGCTTGCAATCATGGAGGTATTCTTGCAATCTATTGGACCTTTCGCTGCGCGTTTATCTTGCGATCACACTGATTTGAATAGTGGTGATTCTATGCTTATACCACTGGGTGATAAAGGCACAGTAGCAGTTATCACCAACACGAGCAATGCTGTACCGATTCTCAGCATGCTGACGAAGAATACCGCTGTGTCCGTGCCACAAACACATGTGCATGATTAGGTTTTCTGCATCTGTGTTGAAATGCTGTACTTGTTACACGTTAGCTGTGAAACTTTCACGGTGAATTTCGCAATCGAGTCTGGGATACTTGGCTGACTGACACTGGTAAGAGCCTACATATATAATAGGATTCCGCAAAGTTAGTGTGATTCTTCAATCAGATTATAGAAATAGTCGCTATGTACTTTTGATACTAGTTTTGATTCAGAAATATTTGCTGCACACTATTTGTCTGAAACTATCTTTCTAGGTGGCTTGAGTACTGTCCTGGGATCTATTCAGCACGGATCTGCGTGCATACCGTCTGTGTGCGTGCATCTTCTGATCTGCGTGCGTGCATCTTGATGCTGACCAAGCAACTCTCCTGTCGTCAAAGGTAAAACTTCCGTCTTTAGAAGTCTACGCGTTGACGCTGATGTTTTCCAGAAGAAGCGCATCATGACATATACCGTGAGCAGTGACTTGAAGTTATCGAAAAAATGGAATCCGCCGACATCGCAGTCGAAGAAACAGATGCGAACGACACATATTAGTGCAATTCCAGCTGTTTTCTTGTGAAGTGTTTCCTCGATGTAGTTTATTTGATTTTGCGCTGATGTAGATTTTTCCCTACCATGAAGTTTCGAATAAATACTATAGCATGATTTGCAAGTGGCAGTGACAGAAGACAGCACGGTAAAAGTGAAACACACAATTATAGAGTACTAGATGGCTTACCCGGCTCCGCCCAGCCCTGTCATTATTTTATTCGTAATCAGCATGCTCGATTACCCCCTGTACCAACTCCCAGCCCCGTAGCTCAAATTTTGCAAAAAAATTGATAAAATCGATATCGATCGATGACGAAAAGTAGCCTATGACACCCGCCGGGGCCCGAAGTGTATGTGTGCCAAGTTTGGTCCGGATCGGTTCAGAAATGGAATTTTCTATTCGAAACATACGTACAGACATACAGACATACAGACAGACAGACAGACAGACAGACAGACAAACAGACATTCAGCTTTATATATAAGATATACTATACACCCTATACTTGTGTGTTCCACTATATGTATACTTACGCTAAATATATACATATATATAATATATATAGTCATGTATAGTTACGAGGGTGAACCACAGCTTGAATTAAGGATCGAAGCATTATGATGTCTCCCTCAGGTCACCCCGATCGGAGAATGCCCCGCACTTTTGCCCCGATGCACACAGGTGTTCCGATTTTACCCCGACACCGATTTCGTGTGACGCGCAGTTGGTCCATGAGATCACATCATTTTAACCTGCGGGTGACAACTGCGAATGTCTGAGAAGCTCCACAAGATGGTATGCAACGCTCGCACCAGCTTCGATCCAACGCAAGTTTGCATCTCGAATCTGAGTTGTACTTAAGTCTTCAAAGATTGTGAAAAGCTCAAATCTTCGTTCAAAAAAACTCTACGGATCTTCACAAGCAAGCTGCGCACCACATCAGACACTCACATCCGCTGCTGCATTTTTTCCTTATCTAGAAATCGACAGAACGAAAGTTTTCATGTTTATAAAAACGAAGCTACCCTGTTTCCAACCGTGTAATACAGTGCGGTTCATAATTATACGAACACCCAAAATTTTGTAAGTTTTTGGACTTTTTAAAAGAATCTCAAAAAGCCGTTGGTACCAAGCGATAGAAAACAACCGAAAACGGTATATGATCCATAAGAATGGAAATCCATGTCAATTGTAGGAGTGTTTTTGCGCCTAATGCGAATTTTTAGCGGTTCATAATTATACGAACACTTAAAATTTTGTAAGTTTTTGGACTTTTGAAAGAATCTCAAAAAGCCGTTGGTACCACGCGATAGAACACAGCCGAAAACGGTATATGATCTATAAGAATGGAAATCCATGTCAATTGTAGGAGTGTTTTTGCGCATAATGCGAATTTTTAGCGGTTCATAATTATACGAACACCTCAAACAAAGGTCCATTTTTCATTCAAGATTGCAATTATTTGAGTCTAAATTTTTTGTAGAGTTACAGTAACAAAGTCTGACATATCTGCTACACACTGAACCCAGTGCAGTTCAAAAAGAGGATTTTCACTATTTTCGGATTGCTCTAAATGCTTTTGGAGTGATTGCGCTCCAAAAACATCCATTCTTCTGTGGTTTACGCGCTCTAATTGGCTTCTACCAAAACTACGAGATAAAATAAGCTCCTTCGATAGGTATTTTGTTTGACGCTTGGAAAATCTTTGCGTTTGCGTGCCGTTTTTCAACCAAGTTCCAACCTTACTTTAGATTTAGCACGATTTCGAGCCTCAAAACTCAGCTTCTCTCTTGCACAAACATTTGATATGAAGCAGCTGCATTGTTTGCATGATGATGTTTCTGTACCAAAGTTTTTGGGTTTTTTGTAGAACTGATCTTGAGGCTGTGGAGCTACAAACCAAATAAAGGTGTGACTGCAATTGTAAAAACAGTGGTTTTGGTGAAGTGACATTTGCGTGGCCAAAACAAACGCTCAACGCTTCTGATTTTTTCTAGCCAAATACACTGTCTTGTGAATTTCTACATACTATAAGTTTACTTCATTGTAGGGCTTCAGAAGCTGAGTTTAGAGGCTTGAAATTGTGCTAACTCTAGGGTAAGTTTGAAACTTGGTTAAAAAACGGCACGGAAACGCAAAGATTTTCCAAGCGTACAACAAAATACCTATCGAAGGAGCTTATTTTATCTCATAACCTTGGTAGAAGCTAATTAGAGTGCGTAAAGTACAGAAGAACGGATGTTTTTGGAGCGCAATCACTCCAAAAGCATTTAGAGCAATCCGAAAATAGTGAAAATCCTCTTTTTGAACTGCACTGGGTTTAGTGTGTAGCAGATATGTCAGACTTTGTTACTGTAACTCTACAAAAAATTTGGACTCAAATGATTGCAATCTTGAATGAAAAATGGACCTTTGTTTGAGGTGTTCGTATAATTATGAACCGCTAAAAATTCGCATTATGCGCAAAAACACTCCTACAATTGACATGGATTTCCATTCTTATAGATCATATACCGTTTTCGGCTGTGTTCTATCGCGTGGGACCAACGGCTTTTTGAGATTCTTTCAAAAAGTCCAAAAACTTACAAAATTTTAAGTGTTCGTATAATTATGAACCGCACTTTAGTATAGTACGAGCCCTTAGAAGTATAACGTAAATTTTCAGTTTTCTACAGGCTCTAATTTCGAAAAAATATTGCTTTCAACATGGAACATCCAAATGAGGAGAGCTAAGTTCGTTAATTTTGTAAACTAGGGCTTGTGGAAAGCTGAAATTTATACTCCTAAGAGCTTGTATGAAAACACTGCAGTTTCGTATTATATAAACATGAAACTTTTCGTTTTCTCGATTTCCAAATAAGGAAAAAAATCCAGGAGATATATAGGAGTGTCTGATGTGCCGTGCAATTTTTATGAGCAATTTGGAAATTCGTAAAATTTTTTTGAACGAAGAAATGAAATTTTTTTCCAATTTTTCGAGCCTTCAGTACGACTCAGATTTTGAAGCAAACTTTCGTGGGC